AGTTAGAGATTTGTATTATTTGACCTTAATTATAAAATTATATTTCTTGATTAATGATGAAAATTATTAGTAGAATACTCAATTACTCAATTCAAAATTCAATTACTGATATAATTGATCGTGACAGCTTTACTTCCTATTCTTCCATTTCGGCTTCATCTTCTGTAAAGATATGAACAATGGGGGGTGATAATGATCTATGTGAGGGTATGATGTTAAACCCCTGCTAACCCAAGTTGCCACCAAAACCCAAGTCGCCACCCAAACAAAGGCTTTAAGCCGCTCTACTCCAGGGGAGAATGAGCCGGTCTCCAAGCGACATGGCGGCCCTGACTGAGTGTTTTTGTCATTCTTTCTCTGGATAAATCCTCCGGGAGAACCACCGGATATAATGATGCAGCTGCAGTGCAACAAACCCTCAAAGACGATACGCTAAGAGGAGGGATTATCTACCAGTCCCTGTGCGCTTTCTCTCTCCCACTGTCTCTCTCTCTCTCTCTTTCTCTCTCTCTCTCTCTCTTCCTCCCCCCTTTTTAAGGGTCTCTCTTAGATAGATCCATAGACCACAACCCACTTACTGGAGATAAAGTCAATACACCTAAGTGTACCGAGCAATCAAGGTAAGAGTATTACATCCATGATTTGCTTTAGAAATGAACTGCAGTGAGTGAATGCAATAAGATTTTAAGCACATGATACAAAAAAGGGCCAAAAGGAAGGTAATGCACTATACAAAACAAGAAGCTACAGCTACCATGAAAAAGAAGCCTCTACCCTCTACTAGAGACACTGTTTTACACACATATACACTCTCATTAACTAGCACGATAACTTACAGTGCAAATGTTTATTATACTGTTTTTTTTTATCTTATTTTTTTTTTCTTCAGCTCAATTCAAATTCAAACAGCACCAAGCAGAGACGTTCACATGTGAGTACAAGTTACAAGTCCGTGCTGTGCAGATTAGAGTCAAGTCTCAGGTCTCTTGGCTTCAAGTCTGACTCAAGTCTCAAGTTTCCTGGGGTTCGAGTCTGAGTCAAGTCTCGGGTCTTTGAGGTTCAAGTCTGAGTCCACTCTGAAGTTGGTGGGTTTTGAATCCAAGTCGAGTCTCAAGTCTCTGGGCTTCAAGTCTGAGTTGAGTCTCAAGTCTCCGGGGTTCGAATCCGGGTTGAGTCTCGAAACCAAGTCTCAAGTCGGTTGGTTTTTGAGTCCAAGTCTAGTCTCAAGCCTCTGGGGTTCAAGCCAGAGATAAGTCTCAAGTCTCTGGGGTTCCAGTCTGAGTCAAGTCTTGAGTCTTTGAGGTTCGAGTCTGTGTCGAGTCTGAAGTTTGAATCCAAGCTGAGTCTCAAGTCTCTGGGCTTCAAGTCTGAATCAAGTCTTAAGTCTCTGGGGCTTGAGTCTGAGTCTCAAGTCTGACATCTGTGGGTTTTTAGTCCAATTCGAGTCTCAAGCCTCTGGACCTCAAGTCCAAGTTGAGTCTCAAATCTCTGGGGTTTGAGTCTGAGTCTAATCTCGAGTCTTTGAATCTCGAGTCCGAGTCAAGTCTCAAGTCGGTGGGTTTTGAGTCCAAGTAGAGTCTCAAGCCTCTGGGGTTCAAGTCAGAGATAAGTCTCAAGTCTCTGGGGTTCGAATCCGGGTTGAGTCTCAAATCCGTGAGTTTCAAGCCTAAGTCTCTGGAGTTTAAATCTGAGTCAGTTTTTAGGTCTCTTAAAAGATATGCTACATGCAGTACATGTGGTGCTTCAAGGAAAGAGGCAAAACAACTTGAAACAGTCAGTACTTTGTATTGTAACTATGCTAGCTAGTATAATAGCTAATCCAGCTTAATGTTTAGTATTTGAAATAATGTGATCTGTAACTTACTAAACCTTTGGCTATTGTTTGAGCTGACACTTCCGCTACATTAACAAATGTGGTAGACAGCATGCTTGCTATCCAAACTAAATGCTAGCCAGCTCTTCTATTGTTAATGGTTTCTAGTTGTTTTTCCTATTTCATTTAAACATTAATTTTCTTCATGTAGAACTTGGTTCTATCCTTTTTCCTGTATGAAAAAGCTGGTTATTTGAAGCCGTATTGAACCTGGTGCCTTTGCAAGCTCAGGGAAAACGGCATTGCAGTAATGATTGTGTATAAACAAAGCAAACAGACAAAGTCACACATGTAAGGTTGAAAAACATTTTTTTTTTCTTCATTTACTGCATTAAGACTGGCAGACTTGATTTCATGTTTTTTTATCAGTCTCAGATAATAAGCCGCTTAAGGGGGAGTCTGAGTTGAGTCGCGAACCAGTCAACAATGCACCTCAAGTCCAAGTTTCTGACTCAAGTCTTCAACTCTGGTACTAAGTAAAATCTAATGTTCCTGAATTGAATCAGAAAACATTAAATCGAAGTTTACTGACAATGTCAGTGTTTCATGGACTGTTTGTATGATGCACAGAGCATATTCTAATTTCATTTGTCTTACCGTCTTTACCATTTTTATCTATTTTTATCTCAGTTTTATTCATCACCAACTAATAAATGTCTTGCCATTTAGCAAAGCTGGAGCACTACTTTAGGAAAGCTAAGATCTGAATATTGTTTCCTCGCTGTGTGTTTAGCCTCCCATTGAATCCTTCCCAGTAACCAGTTGCTCAGGCTTGTCAAGTCCATTTAATAAACCCACTAAACAGTCAGCCTGACTGCACTACCCTGGAGACCTCCAACCATTCAGTCACACAACCACAGACCTCTGGGCTAATCAAGGTCATAGACATGGTGGGTTCAACTGTGCATCAACTGACTACCAAAGGGAAGGGACCAAGTGCTCACGACAGTTCTATGTTTTGTTAGGTACTTCATGGATTCCAAACTAAGGGCCTAGACACCTGATTCAACATGTTAATTAGCTGACAGGTTCAAACAGGAGTCTTAGAGCAGGAAAACTATACAGGAAATTGGGGACCTATTAATCTCACATAGTCCAACTACATCCAGTACTGTGCAAACAAAAGAGATTATATTTCATCTATTTAATCACCAGTTAAAACAGCTATTAAGTGTACATTATTCATTTTTCAGTGTCAGGTAAAAAAGAAGAAAACGTTTAACAGAAAATTACACAGAAGCCTCGAAAGCTAAGTATAATATCAGTATTTTCAGTATTTAGTGTGTCCACTCTATGCCTTTATTATAGCTTCCATTCTTTTCAGGAAACTTGCCTTTTAGTTTATGAAAGAACTCTGCAGGGATATGTAAGCTGTAAATTGGTTGCATTTTCTGCTTCTCACAATCCAAGTAATCCCAAACACATTCAATGAAGTTGAGATCTGGACTTCGGGGTGGACAGTCCATTGATCTGAGAACATTAGCAACTTCTGTGTTTAACCTGAAAATGTTCTTTTTTGTCTATTTCCTTTACTCAGTGAGGCTTCTTGACAGCTACACATCCTTTTAGACTCATAGTGTTGAGTTGTCTTCTCACAGTGGAAGGATGGACAGAAACACCTGTTGTTTTTTTCAGATCTGAAGCAAGAGTGCAGCTTAATTTTTACATCTCTTAAAGAAGAAAGCGTTAAGAGCAGTTAAGTTTTGAAGGTTGATCTCTGACTTTTGCACAGCAATGTATGCAACTGTAAAATTCCTGCCAGCACCACTGGGCAGTTCCAAAAATCCCACTCCAGGTTTGAAATTTGCCTGCATTGAGTGACTGCTGAGCTCAGCTGTCAGCCAGTGCATTAGCTGACTAACCAAAAGGACAGACTGCATGCTTATTACAATTCTGAGTTAAATTACATTACACTGTATTACAAACCGTTATCCACTAAAATGGAGAAAATTACATCACAGCTAAAAACAGCGGTAGCGGAGATCATAAAGCCTGAATTCTGTTTGTGTGTTTTTATAGATAACAGTATGTCACAGTGTCAGAAGCTGCATTATGCCTGGCCCACACTACAGGATGAAGGCAAAAGGTTTCCTGATATCAGGGTGATCTTAAATGATGATCTTCTTAAATGATGATCAGTTTATCCTATGGTGTACGGTGTCTATAATCTAATCTTTATTTTTCCGATCTACACTCAGTCCAGTCGGGGCCGCCACAATTGTAGATTATAAATATTAAACATGTTCGATATCTAGGACTCAGTATCCTGTAGTGTGGGGGGGATGCCGATTCTCTGGTGTGAAATATATTTACATTTATTTAAATATATTTAAATATATGACGGATATTGACGTCATGCCTGAGAGTTCATCAGCCACTTAGAGCCGAGATCAGCTGAACTTGTCAGTGTGTATGGACGCAGAGGCATGGCGGCTAAATTGAGAACTAAGTGGGCTTTAAAGAAGGAGTGTGTATGTTTGTACGTATTCACCTCAAGCTGGCGTTGCAGTCTGTATAAGCCTGGTTGACCCCTTCTTTTCAGCCATGACTTCATCCACATTTTTCTCTTCTGCTTGGCTTTTTCTGTGCAGAAAGCACACACCACCAGCATAGCAACAGCCTCGCTGTTATCCGCCATGTTTGTTTAGATCTAAAGTCAGTTTGTGAGAAGTCCCGCAATGTAGTAATTCGCAAGAAACTCCCGTGAGGTTTAGAGAATCCAAAACGTTGGTCAGTACTCTTGTTCTGAAAAGTGTGTGGAGCGATCAAGGACAAAATAATTGGTGAAAATGTCATTATGTGTGGGGTCACGTTTTCAACATCGGTTATTTTTTTAAATCCTGTAGTGTGGGCCAGGCATTAGCAAGTCTATTCGAGATTACATAACTACTCAACACGGTTCGAAGCAAGTGTGTGCTGATTTAGGCATGCAGCTTGCAGCTAACTGGCACGGTATTAACCTCCATTACTTGCTAGCACAGTAGCTTTGTAGTTCCCGTGCAAAAGTAGAGAAGCTAACTTCAGACAGCAAATGAGTCTTGGCTGACTGATTACATTTGGTTTGTGTAAAATCTACATTTTTTTTTACCAAGCTATTCTTTTAAAAAGTGGTTAAGAAAACTCCTACCTTCTCTTGGTACTGGCGACGTGAGGAGTCCAGGGATTGGATAAGGGCGGTGGCATGGCCCACAAACATGGCGTAGCAGGTGGCCCCCACAATCATACTGAGCATGGTGATCCACAGATCGGACATGCTGACAGGCGCTCGAGCTCCGTACCCAATACACAGCATGTGACTCATGGCCTTAAAAAGGGCGTATGAGTACTGCTTCCCCCAGGAGTCGTTCTGAGAGAGAGGGAGAAAGAAAGAACCAGGGAGGAATGGAAAAAGAGAGGGGGGGGGTGGTGGAGAGAAGTTATTTAGCACAAACTTGCAGGCGAAGCTCGGTGATGGATCACTGAGCCTCCACAGAACACCCTGCCATCTCACCCTTCATGCCTGAGAGACTCTCTCCTAGCTCCTGCAATCGCTTTCCCTCTATCGCTTTGCCTCTAGCCCTCTCCTCCTTTCTCTATCTTTTTCTCTTTGATACTCCATTTCTCTCACTTTGTGTGCTGTTGATACAATCTCGACCTCATGTTCTTTGGTTTTCTACCTTCATTCTTTGCTGGTTTCTGCTCCGTCTCCTCTTTTCCTTTCTCTTCAGTTGTTTTTTTTCTAAGCTTTGTCCTCTGCTTCTTCCTCTAGTTTACTCTATGACTGCTATTAGCTCTGTCCGTCTGACGCACAGCATCCTTCCCTGCCCGGTTCATCCAGTATGGGCGAGTGAGAATAGAAAGACAAGGAACTGACCTTTTCCAACAAACTTCAACAAACCCAAACAGTGGGTTGGTGTAGCTTTTGGTAGAAATCAGTGCTGGAGCCAGTAGAGGCATATTTTAATGTAACAGTATCTGCAATATTAGGCTTGATCCAATTAGTTAAGATCTGTGTTAAGGCTATTGGGCCTCACTGCACTTTACAAAGGTCCAATTGATATGCTATGATGGTATAAAATGCACAATATATGCCTGGCTTTAGTGGAAAATGTGCCTTTAAAGCTGATGTTACAGCATCTTTAAATACAAAACTGGCATCTTCAAGACACCATAAAGTCATTAAAACAAAGTAGCTCCAAAACATTCAAAAACAGCAGTTCATAATGATACATTACACACTTGAAAAAGATCCCAAGATTTCTTAAGAAAATGGTTCTATATAGAACCACCAACACTCAAAGAACCCTTTGCATGATTAAAGGGTTCTTTGCATCATAAAAGGTTCTTCAGACTAATGGAGAATGTGCTGAAGATGGTGCTATATAGAACGTTTTGAAAAGGGTTCTATATAGCACCAAAAAAATGGTTCTTATATTGTTACGACGTCAAGCTTGTAACAATAGCAGAATCCTTTTTGGTGCTATATAGAACCATATAGAACACATTTTCTATCAATCTGAAGAACCTTTTCACAGGGCAAAGAACCCTTTGATCATGGATCATCATTTTCTTTACTGAAGAACCCCTAGTTATTATTAGGAGTTTCCTCTATCATTCACACCGGTTCATCTGGCTTATCAGATCTTTTTCTGAACGCTTTTTTTTGGCCAGCTGGTGTTTGAGCTTGGCTTAAGAGAGCATTAGTACAGCAGTGTTTAACAGAGGACTGGACCAATAAAGACAAGCATAAATCCACTTGATATCAACTGACTACACACCCAGTGAGCACACAGAATCAATGCAAGACATCTGGTGCATATATTCAAGGGGTAGATGGCATAGTGCTTTACTGCCTTTTCACCATAAAATGCAAATTGCACCTGTTTTAGTGGTGCCTATGCACTTTTTCTTTAATAACAAATACAAAATAACAAATATATTTCAGAAATGTGTATGATTTACAGAACTGGAAGCAAACTGGATTTTTGTCTGTGTAGTTGAGTAAGTCAGCATTCATAAAAGCTTTTTATTATTGTGTAAACGTTTTTATTATTATTGTGTTTAAATGTCATTTTTATTGTGACCATTGTACATGATTTTTTCATACAGAAAAAGCTCCAGTTGTCCATTTTATCTCAGCCATCTTTACAGAGAGGTGGTAACTGTCTTTATAGGCCCTCATTGCTTGCTAGCAGTTCAACACAGAGGCACAACTTTTCACACACAGACAGTCAACAGTGTTCTGGTTAACCTGATAACAGAGTTACCGGGAAAAACATTTTATTGAATTAAATTAAGGGCCACTGGGGACCTTCAGAAAGGGGCTACTGGATCTATCTTGATAGCCAATTTATTTATTTATTTACTTACTTGCCTAATTTCTACAAAATTAGTTAGGGAAACACTGTTTGTACAAAACTGCAAATTTATTCGAAGCAAAGAGTGGGCTTCTGATGGTGAGGAGCTCCATGTCCTTGTACACAGAAAGTGTAGCTCTGTGCAGGGCTTATCAGCCATTTTACAAGTGAGGGGAACACAGGAATGAGCAAGTAATCCAAAAATCTGTACATCTGTAAAAATTATTAAATGCAGTGATAATTTAAAGAATGCTGTTTGTTTCTGCCACACGGTTATACATGCTGTGTTTGGTTTTAATATGGAAGTGCATTAATTTCTGGAGAAATTCTTTAATAATTCTGTCTGCGTCCAGTGTGTCTCTTTGACAGATCTGCTATACGAAAAGCTTTAGAATTCTTTACAGTTCTGTTGAAATGATGGGAAATAAGACTCTTTTTCCTTTTCTCTTTCATGTCATTGAGAATTGACATAAGTAGTTTGACCCCTTCAGGAATTGTCAAAGTTAAAAGTTTGCGAATATCTGGTGAAACATCAAACATCCAACATCAAGCTACCTTTATATAGGTGGATGCACATATATGAACACACCAGAGGAAAAGTTAAGAGTTTAATTATGAAATGCTGTATATTCATTCGCAACATTTTTAGCTTTAGCTTTTTTTCCCTAATAAAAGTGGCATTTATCATAATATAGCACTGATATTTCTTATATGTGTGAATACATTCTGAACAACGTATATCGTGGAAAGAAAAATGAAATTTGTGTGACGATTAATCTGTTTTGGAATGAAACCCAGTTATAGTTAACCAGATCACAAATATGCACAAATAGCCCAAAATTAGCAAATGATTTAGCTATGTAGGTAGCTAGCAACACTAACTGCGGCAAGAACACTAACCTATGAGGATGGTCCAAAATTAAAAGCTGACCCATACTGAAAAAAAGTGTTTGAATTTACATGATTCATTGGTGAAATGTTACATCAGCTTTAATTAAGTCAGTTAAGCACTTACACATAGTAAATAAGCTGAAGTATCATATTTCATTCTTATGGGGCCAATGTACAAATTTAAATCCTGTCAGTTTAAACCAACCTTTATTTCAGTGCATCACTGATTGAACAGTTAACCAACAGTATATCTGCAAGCTAATGTCAGCTATCCAGCCAACTACTACAAGCAAGTTTCAGACTCAATAGTATTTGCAAGTCCCTTCACTCTGAGTTCACTTTCTCAAAAATTCATGCAGTGTATTTGATCTGATTCGGTCCCACACAGCTTAATTATGATTTACTGAGTCGCTGTTTAATCAGTCCAAATTAACTAATACCTGAAAAAAATGTTACTGATCATAAAATACAAAGTTTTTTCTTAGAGATTTGCGACTGCAAGGCATGCGCTGAGTTCAGAGCATGTGCAACTGCGAAAACAGGTGCAGGTTAGTCGTGTCCCCCACGCCCTCCCTGACTATGATGACTATATGATGTCTGTCCATGTGCTTTGTCACTCTTTGATCACATACAGAATAACTTTTACCCAATACTTCTGACCAGTTTTGGTATTTTGGTTCTTTTTGGGAACTTTAGGAAAGTTTTATAAATCTATTGATAATCTGTCCTATAAAACAAAAGCCGATGCTTCAGGTCGAGAAAGGTATTTTGAGATCGGTCAGCAGTGCTGATGGGAAGACCATTCCCCATAGACCTGCGCTCCTACGCTTCGCTCAGGGACCCAGTGCTGACGGACTAAAACAAGCAGCAAATTATTTCTGGATGGCTTCAATTCCCTCTGTGAGCATGAGGGTGTGTGTCTGCAAGCAGGCGAGCACTGTTTTCAGTAGACGGATGTGATAGCTCTTTGGTAATGTACCGCCTCTGTAGTTGCTCCCAAGTTGCTGACTGCTCAGATTTCTTTCTGTTCTTCTCGAGACGGGGAAGTGCTGAGGAGAGCTCTGCTCCCAAAAACCTGCTCTTAAATCTACTGCCTGTCTACTCATACAGCAAACACTGCAGCGCTCCAAATCTCAGCTCCTCCCCCTGCTTCTAGCCCACACTGTGTGTGTGTCCTGCTGAGAGGTTTAAAGGGATAGTCCACACCGCTTATTGGTCTGCACCAATTAGCATTGTTCAAGGTGTATGCCTAAATCTACATACACTGACCGACAACTTCTTAAAGTACACTTGCTTGTATCCACACTTACTGTCCATTTTATCAGCTCCACTTACTATATAGGTGCACTTTGTAGTTCTACAATTACAGACTGTAGTCCATCTGTTTTCTGCATACTTCCACCCTGTTCTTCAATGGTCAGGACCCCCACAGGGCTACCACAGAGCAGGTGGTGGATCAGTCTCAGCACTGCAGTGACACTGATGTGGTGGTGGTGTGTTAGTGTGTGTTGGGCTGGTACTGCTGGAGTTTTTAACACTGTGTCCACTCAATGTCCACTCTATTAGACACTGTTCATATGTTGGTCCACCTCTGGTGCTTCATCAGTGGTCTCAGGACGCTGCCCACAGGACGCTGTTGGCTGGATATTTTTGGTTTGTGGACTATTCTCAGTCCAGCAGAGACACTGAGGTGTTTAAAAACTTATTCTGGTTACTACGGAGACCCGCTGGTGACAACCTTTATAAATAAAAATAATGTGTGGCCATGACTTAGTAAGGCATGGGAACAAAATTCTAATATGTGACATGGCCATGCATTAGAATCTAGTTCCACGCCTTACTAAGACGTGGCCATGCATTATTTTTATTTATACAGGATGTCACAAGCGGGGCTCCATAGGTTGCCATGGTGACCCTGCATGCTTAAAATCCCGGCTGTTTTACAACTGTTTCCTTTCATTACTGCAGCTGTTTTAAGACTTTTCTGCGCAGTTTTACCACAACAGCCTTCTATAGCTTTGTATTAGGACTGGAGGGACAGCTTTAGTTTTGGGAGGGCCAATGATGCAAGGACCCCCCCCTCCCCTACCTATGGTGCCTACAGCTATGATGCATACTC